TTATCTCCTTGGATGTTTTTACATGCCAAAACTACAAGCTGCCTACAGCTCACTGAACCTTCTGAACTCTTCAGGGATAGGCTGTTAAATCTCCAGTTGGGTTCCAAAAACATAGTTTTAATCTGAATTAAAAAAATAAATAAATTCTGGGGCTGGAGAGATGGCTCAGAGGTTAAGAGCACTGGCTGCTCTTCCAAAGGTCCCGAGTTCAATTCCCAGCAACCACATACATGGTGGCTCATAGCCATCTATAATAAGATCTGGTGTCCTCTTCTGGCATGCAGGTGTACCTGCAGACAGAACACTGTATACATAATAAATAAATCTTAAAAAAATAAATAAATTCTGCTTCTCCCATTATAAACTCTGAGTGATGGGCAATTACCTAGTTCAGATACTGATATTAAAGAATATTGTCAGGATCAGGTCATTCCTCACTGAGGAGGAGCTATTGACAGTCAATGGTTTCCTTAAGGGTGTGGCCCCTCATGGGCACCATGCTCTAAGCAGATGGCCCCACACCCAGGAGTACATGGGCAGTATAAATTAGACTCAGTATATAAGAGGACATAAAGTTGGTGGGAATAGATCTGGAAGGAGTTAGAGGGATGAATATGATTTAAAAAATACATTGTATGAAAATGTCAAAGAATTAAAAAAGCCCCAAAAGCAGTTGGGGGAGGGGGGAGAGATCATTATTAATTTGTTTCTTAAAGACGAAAACCAGGTTAGTTCTTTTTCCTTTTAAGGGTTAGCTAATAGGGCTCTCTCTGAACCATCACATTCATGTCTTCAAAATATCTTTAAGGTAAATTTGACAGTGTTTGAGCTCAGAATTTTGGAAATGCAGGGCATGATGGATTTTTGTCTTTAAAGATTCTGTTCCTTTTATGGAAAGGAAAACAAACTAACCATCCATTAAAATCTCAACTTTGCTCATAGAGGCCTGTGGTGTCTACATGTATCTACTTCCCAGACTTAATCTTCATTTGACCATTATAACAAATACTATAAATCGCCAGTGAAAACCAGATAACAAAAGTGAACTAAAAGTAAAAAACACAAAATCTTCACACTTTTATCAGGTATATTCTTGACTTAGTGGATCTAAATAAGAAGGCTAGGTCCTAAAACAGACTCCTCTACAATTACGGAGGATATGGAAGGTAGGAAGCAGCAGTCATGTAACTGAGGAAGTTCAAGTAGAGTAAAACTCGGGTGAGGGAAGCCTGGCAAGGTGGAACATGTCTTTAATCTCAGCTTTTGGGAGGTTGAGTCAGGAAGACTGCAAAGTCCAGACCAGCCTAGACTACATAACAAGATCTTGTGCCCAAAAGTTAGAACAGAAAAAGAAGAAGAAGAAGAGGAGGAGGAGGAGGAGGAGGAGGAGGAGGAGGAGGAGGAGGAGGGAGGGAGGGGGGGAGGAGGAGGAGGAGGAGGAGGAGAAGAAAGTAGAAGGGCCAAGGTCCTTAGCACATAGAAGGAAACAAACTGCAACAGTGTTCCTGAACCTACAAGAGAATCACATCACACCTGAACCAGTAACACAATTACCTATAGCAATCCTAACATCCTCCTGTACCTGACACCAGGAAAAAAACAGGAGATGCCTGAAAACACACACTTTCCATACATAAAAGCATGAAGCTTTTCAACAGATAGTCTTTAAACTGCAAATAAGTTGGATACTGGCTTTTTTAATACAATGGGAAAAATAGAATAACAAAAAGGCGCTCATTGGGTAAAGGTGCTTGCCACCAAGCCTGATGTCTTCAGTTTGACCCTAGTAGAGGAGAACAGACTCTTAAGGAGTTGTCTTTTGACTGCTACACACATGCCACACCTCAAGAGCATGTGTGTGCACATATATACAGATAAGCAAATATATGTAATTTTAAACACCAACAAAAAGAAGACCACTGGTTTAAGGCAGGTGAGGGGGAAAGAGTAAAGAGAAATTGTTGGAAGAATGTTACTTCCCTGTCTTCCCTCCCTCTGCCCTATAGAAATAAGACTTGAAAAACAAAATGAACAGACAACCCAAGCCAGAGTTTCTGCTGAACAAAGTCCACAGGATTGTTTCCACGTCTTCTTCCACACAAGTCCCCAGCCAAATCAAGGACCAGTGCATAGACAGCTCACTATTCCTTTAGAATTCCTTTAGAACATTCCCATGCCAGTTATTTTCTCAGCTTGGTACTAGAACTTTAACCTAGTTCCTTATCTTCTAAACTCCACAGAGAGAAAACCTAGGCCCTTATCTTCCAAATTCCAAATGCAGAATTGCTTCAGTGCTGGGCCTAGATTAAACTGACCATCGTGTTATTTGTACTTTTAAAGCTTTTCCATGCTTCAAAGTCTGAAAATGTTTCTATCACTCTTCTATGAGAAGGTGAAAAAACAAAAATCCCAAATTCCTATTACTGTATCCTGTTGCTCCTTGGTACAGCTGTCTGTCGCGGCCTCCACAGAGAACAAGAGGCATCAAGTCCATGAAGTAACTGTGACCAAAGGTCTCTGAGCTTTTCACTGAATATTTACACACTCTCCCTTATCCCAATCTCATCCTGAATGACCAGGGATAATGAAGAATCAATAAACTGTATATGTGTGCCTTCTAAAATTCTTTTAAACTAAGCCTCGGCACCTGGTTTTCGTCCTGTCTTTTAGCTGTTTTGCTTTATGTTTGTCCAACCATAACATCTCAAGCATTAGCGGGCTGACTCTACACTGGAACAAAGCTTGCCCCTTAGATACAGAGACAGTATCTACCGCTCTTGTTTGCCATTGGGAATTTAAATATGGCTGTTTTCATTAACACTTCACTGTTTTCTTAGATGTGTCAACAGGTGGAAGGTGGTATGCCCCTTCAAGAACAAACTTCCACTCAAGGGACCTGTTCCCTTTCCCCTTGGTTGGGTAAACAATGCCCTAAGTTTTCTTGACGGCAACTTTGTTCCTTCGCCCAAACCTGTGGAGTGCCTGTTCTTCTGACTGCTGGACAATGGAGGCCTTTCCCATCTGGTGCTTGCTTCCATAAATAACTATTTATTCTAGCCGTTCACAGTGGAGAGACTAGATAGGGGTAAATGGCTAAAGAGGTTAGGGGTGGAGGTAAGTTAACTCTTGGAGAAGAGCGGAAAGCAAGCCCAAAGCCTGTATGTCTTTTGCAGCTAGACACAGACCAGGGGATGCTTACGGACTCTTGCCGGAGGAGACGCAAGTGCAGGTGCTGCGACCTAGTCCTGGAGTTGGGCGGAAATGGCGTTCGCTCCCTGCCGCCCACGTGCTTGACGAAGAGCGAGGATCCAGGTGGCACACACTCACCATGCTGCTCTGGCCGGGGCCCTGAGGGCTGGGGCGGCGGGTCCTGATGCTGCAGCGGGGAGGTGGAGGCTGAGGCCGAGGCAGAGGCTGACGTGATGAGGAGCCGCTGGAAGCGGTTGGGCGGGCGACAGGGCACCTCCAGTCCGGCCGCCAGCTTGGCCTTGTTGGCGCTGGTGAGCCTCTTGAGGTGAACGAGCAGCTGAGGCTGGTCGCGGCGGAAGTGCGGGCTGTGGAAGTGGTGGAGTGGCCCGTCGCCCGCCGGCCCGCCAGCCCCAGGCCCGGGCCCGGGCCCCGCCGCCCCCGGCCCACCCAGCACCACCTTGCGGAAGCCGTAGAGGTTGAGCTGCCGGATGAAGCTGGTGAAGTTGGTGGTTTTGAAGAGCTCGGGCTCGGCCCCGGCCGCTCCGACGCCGCTGCCGCCGCCCCCGCCGCTGCTCCCCGCTCCCCCCGCGCCCCCGGCCCCGGGGCCCGGCGGGCTGAGCAGCTCGGCCTCGAAGAGCGGCTGGTCGATAAGCAGCCCCTCGCCACGGCCGTCCCAGCGGATGGAGCGGTACCGAGGGCTGTTCACCAGCCGCCACAGCTTGGCGGGGAAGTTGTTGGGGTTGATGGGGGTGGACAGCAGCGCCTCCTCCATCGCCCGCCCGGGCCCTGGGCCTCGCCCCGCCGAGCCTGGCTCTCCCACCGTTCTCGATCCCCCGGGCCTTCGCTGCGCCCTGCCCCCTCCTGCAGCGCCCGGCCGCCGAGGCCGGACCGTTGGCGCACGAGTCCCCGGCACGCCCTCCGGTGTGGCCAATGGGGCCTCGAGTTCCCGCCGCGTGGGGGCCGACGGCCTCGAGCCCGCCCTCCCCCTCGGCGGGGTGCACGCCTTCGACGGCGGGGGGGGAGGGGGACACTGCCGCCTAAGGCCGCCTTCGCGTGCCTCCCAGAACCGGGCCCTCGCCGTCCGGTGTCCGGAGGGCAGCACGCCGCCGGGAACTGTGGTTCCTGAGGAGAGAGCGGCTCAGTTTACCTTAGCACGATCCGAGGAGCTCCCGGCGGGGCAGGGCGGCCAGGCGGGGATTCAGAACGCAGAGGACGCTCAAGCGATACACGGGCAGTGGTTCCTGAGAACAGAGGGGCTCACGCCACAGTCTTTTCTAACAGTCGAATTGCTGCTCTCTCCAAATAAAAATGACGGTGGGTGGGGGTAGGTACAGTAACCAGGGTCCATGAATTCATCTAGTATATAGCAGCACGGTTATATCTATCCTTTTTCTTTCTGCTCAAGAAAACTGGAATTCAAAATAGGTGATGCCCCCGGTACTAGGCAGAAGAGAATAAAGATCGGTAGGAGCAGCTGTGATCTCCTGACAAGAAAGAGAAACAAACTTCACACGAAAGGGGACAGAAACCTGCAGAATTAGTCAACAAACCCAAACACAAGAGGAACTGCCAATGAGTACTGCAGTTTGTTTTGGTTTCGCTATAAAGCCCAGCCTGGCCCTCAACCTTGCCTTAATCTCCCTGCCTTTGGCTCCTGTACTTGGTGTACACAACAGTTATACCTGGCTCGGAGAACTATACACTTTTTTAGAAATCAGAATGAAGGGCCAGGCAAGTGGTGGGATGCTTTACCCAGGAAGCATAGATTCAATCCCCAAACCGCTAAGAAATAAAAAGACCCAACAAAGCAGCACTAATATAGAGATTTTATTTAAACTGTATTGAGTTTTTACAGCACATTGCATGTTTGTCACAACGCGACTGCACAGTTTGGATTTTTGGCCACATCATGTCACTTACACCCACAACAGCTCTGAAAGGATGAACACATCTGAGCTAGAAGCCCGGAGTCTCTCTCCAAGGCCATGCAGTTTGTTCACTGATGGGACAGTCCCTCAAAACAGTCACACAAAGTAGACAGATACAGTCTCCCCAAATGTTATCGATCCCCCTGAAAACAGAGTGAAGTGCAATGAAAATTGGTAATTAAAAAGCCACTCATGACTGGCAGTAAATTTTAATGATTGAGAAAATGCTTAAAATAATTTTATGTATCAGAGACAAATAGTTTGTCACTCTTTCATTGATCTTAGGAATTTCTCAGACACAAAATCTCCATTATTCAGCTCCATTTAAATGAATAAAAAAAAATCTGCTAGGCTGACCTAAATATGCCAAAACTTTTTAGGTTACATCCATGGCAAGTATAAAAGGAGCACAGATGCCTCACTGCAGAACTGAAGAAAAGGTCAGGATAAGTAATTCCTATTCTAAATGTAGGTTCTGGTTAGTTTGGAATGAAAATGTTTTCTAGAAAGCAACATTACAGTAGCAGTGAGAAAGACAACTGCTGTAGTTTTAACACAGAGTATGCAATTATCTTTTCTACATCAATGAATTAAGGAAAACATAGAAAGGAAATCCTAACGCTTTCACTATAAGCCAAGGAGACTGTATCTGTCCCAACCACAGTACATGGCTATATTACTGTATCTTTTGGTTAAGTGCCACTGGTACATAGTAAGATGGAAAACAAAATCAAAATAAAACAAAACAAAATGTTTGGTCCAAATGGACACATCATCACTCCCAGTTTTGGTATCAAGGCTTTCTTCTTTCTGTTTGGGTTCCATTGTTAAGTGCACAAAAATAGACAGCAGCATTTGTACTGAAACCCTCACATACCAAGTAGCATATGCTAGGAGGTAAAAACCAAATGCTATATTCTACCCTCAAGGTGTCAAGTGTTCAGGATAAGAAGCAGTGTGACCCAGAGGAGGCAGCGGCCAAGGGAAAGACAACATGGGGGAAGTGGGCAGTGGAACAACAGAATCCTTGATTTTCATGCCAGGAGAGGATCAAGGTGTAGCTCCCATGTTAGCACCAGGACAACTAGGAAAAGTCAGGTGCAGAGGGTAGGGCACAGTCAGCAGAATTTCACAAGGATAATTTTGTTTTTCCTTTCTCATTCTTCACAGTGCGTACCTCAAGAGCAGCTACTGCGTAAGAGTGACAACAGCCTTCACAGCTCCAAATAACTGATTTTCGCCAAGATTAAATATCACCAGAGTTTTCCTGTTTCCAAATGTCTTAATCCTTAGAACTGTCCCTCTAAAACCGAATATTCGCTGATGCTAGCCAGTGAGCCAGGTGGAAAATACATCAAAACCTCCATTTGCCAAACCAGTCTTTGAACCAAACTCCACAGAAGACGGAACTAATGCAACTAGAGGAAGTGCCTCTAAGAGACTGAGCCTTCATGCACATACACAGAGCACAGAGGTACAGAATAGAGTTCGTCTCAAACAGGATGGGAGTTCCTATCTCAGATACTATAATCTGCTCTTTTCAAGATGGAGGAGAGACGGGTCTCATTATCACTTGGAGTTTGGTTAGAAGTATGCCTTTCTATTGCTGTTTGGGCACTGTGCACCAGACAATATTTATGAATCATCTCGTGACCTCCAGGAGATAGACGCTGGAGTCACCAACTCAGTGTGAAGCCTCCATACTCTGGGTCTGGATCAGAACCATTACCCCAAAGTGAGGGTCTCTCCAGTAGAAAATCTCCTGCCAAATTCAAATTCCTCTGCTCCAGTCACATGGTACCAAGGAGGATTTCTCAAGACGGTATCTTTGAGCTCTGTGTTCATGAGCCATACCAAGGAACCTTCCAGACTACACCTGAAGCAGATCCTCCCTTCAAACCTGCTAAAAAATGGACAGATCATCTCCTCTGGCATTCAACTGGAAGCTGTAGCAATGGGTTTCTTCAGGTGTTGGCTCATGAGTTCCCTGGCACGAGATACTTGAATGTGTTCGTAACAAGAGTTACAGACGAGAACTGGGTCATAGAGTTGCTGATCAGGAATGGGCAGCTTAAGGTGGCAGCATCCAGCACAAAATACGTTCCCACAATTTCTGCCAAAGTACAAAGAAGGAGCTCATCAGAAATATCAATGTCCTGAGAACGAATGACAGCCTAAAAGGGTTTCCATGAATAACTACAAAGGCATACACAAAATACTTACTTAAGATATCTCCATTTTCAAATTAATTTAGTTTAGCTCTATACATAGAACTCTATATTATGAGTAACAATGAGGATAAAAAACAAACAAACAAACAAAAAAACCATCTTACCTGCAATGATGTCTTCGTTTGGCCAACCAGAACTCACAGTCACAGTTATAGCAGTGTGATGCCATATGGTCTGGAACCCAGCGAGTCACCTACCAGAAGGCACAAAAGAAAAGTCTAGGTCCATGTCCAAAGAGGAGAACAACAACATTGTAATCAGGAAATCAGCCCAAAAGAAAATGACCAGGATGGCCTTCATGCCTGGCCACTGCTTGTCTACAAGGATGTCATTTATCTGGGGAAGAGTTCAGGCTACAGTGAGTCACTCACCTCTGAGAAACATAACCGAGTGACTTACATTAAGTACCAACTACACAGTTGCCTATACATACCTCAGTTTCCTTCTTGTCAACGGGTTCCCAGCTTGCTTCTGAAAGGCAGTCTTCACTGTGATCAGAGCCAAAGTCTTCAGTGTCACTGCCATCTGACTCCTTTAGACACGTCTGCAGCACAGGCAAAGACACCAACATCACTTCCTTCAGCATAAGCATTTACCAATTACCAGGCACTGTTCTAAGTGTATTGCATGCATGAACTTACTTAACTGCTCACAATAATCATGAATTTTATTAGTATTAGCTTCGTTGTACAAAACACAGAAATGAAGCCACAGGGAGATGAGCTGGTAAGTAGTCAGGCTGAGCTCTGATCTTTGTATTCTGGCTCAGAACTGTGATGGTAGCCAGTCCAGAGCAGCACAGCATAGAAAGACTCTATTTTCTGTTACATCCTAAGCTAAGTATTGGCAAACTATGGCCCAGAAGCTAAATCTATCTTGTTTTCATAAATTAAGGTTTACTGAAACATAGCCAGATTCATTTATTTATACATTCTCTTTGGCTGCTTTTGTGCTACAATGGCCACATAATAGTTGTCTCATAGACTGTTTGGCCCACACAACCTAAAAATGTTTATCACCTCGCCTTTACAAAGAAAAGTTGGTTGAGTATGTAAAGCATCACTCTGAAGAGTGAAGCAGCTGTTTGTCCTGTCTATTCTACCAGCAGACAACTGGGAACACTTTAACTGATGGAAGGGAAGTATCCATGTAGACAGCAAGGGGCGAGATGGCTCCAAGAAGCCCCCTGAGGATTGCAGTGGCAGAATCTAAAACAGCAAGGACAGTAAAGCCTGGAAGGCCCTCATTATCCCTCACCTAGATTGTTTTAAAATGTCCCAAACAAGCCAGGAGCAGTGGCATACATCTTTAATCCCAGCACTTGGGAGGCAGCTCTCTGTGAGCTGCAGCTCTCTGTGAGACCGCCTGGTCTACACAGAGAGTTCCAGGACACCCGGGCCTACAGAAAGAAACCCTGTCTCAAATAAATAAATAAAAATACAAAAAAATGTCTTAGCCAGCCTCCTGATCTAGATCTCAGTTGCCTCATCAAAAGGTACTCAAGCCGATCCTCCATCAATTCTCCAGTGTTTCATTCATACTACTTGTCTTCCTCAGTCCCAGCTCAAAATGTGTAAGCGCATATACTCACATATGCCCACATGCACCCCCCCCACCCCTTTGTTAAGCCACAGCTCTGGAGCACCTACTGCCTCCATGTTTCTGAAAATGCTGTTTCCTATTCACTGTCTACCTAGCTAAATATCACACATTCTTCAGCACTCAGGTTTAAGCATTATCTTCTCAGGACGGCTTTCCTTGCCTGCCCAGTCTGAACACTCAGAACATCACTAGGTTAGGGGGCGCCTAACTTGGTGGCACACAGAAAGTGCCCACCATGTGACTATGAATGGACAGAATAAATGAATGAACAGGTGGCAGCTGGTGCATACTCACAAAGTCATCCTCATAGTCCATGGGGGGCTCTGCTGGAGGGGCACAGCAGTGACGGATGTCTAGCCTCATCTGAAGCTCTCGAACCTGTCGCCGTAGCTGTTCTACCTCTTGCTTGTACGCTGCTTCGATCTGCCGTAGCCTATGTTGGATCACATCCGTGGGAAAGGGGAGTCCATCGTCATCCAGGTAGAGAGGAGGCACTGGAGAAGGGCAGCTCAGAAGAGAAGGCTTTGTGCTGGAGACTTGCTTTGGATGACTGGACAACCACAGACGGCTGTTCTTTCCTCCTGGGCCTGCACAGTGTCCACTGGAATGACTAGGACAGACAGGTGACTTCGTGCCTTCTCTCTGAGCCCACTGGCCCCCAGAGCAGGGCCCTGCAGCTCGAATATGCTTATTGCTCGACCTCTTGCTACAACAGCCATAAGCAAGCAGTCGCCGAGGAGTGGTCTCTCCACTTGGGAATGAAGTCACCATCCCTTGGAAGCTGTCCCAGTTCGACCCTAAAAATGAGAACTCACTGATCTGGCTCTGAGAAATGGGCTTTCGGGCCAGCTCCAATGGCATTTTCCCAAAGCGAGGATTTTCTAACAACTGCCCGTTCTTGCTTCCTCTCCTGCCAGCATCTTCCTTCTTGTAGCTCAGATCTGGCACAGAAGTAGGCTGTTCCTGGTGGGAGATAGTTGCTGTAGACCCAGGGGTATCTTGGCTGAAGAGGTCAGTATTTGGCTCTTGAGGAGTTTGGCTGGCAGCACTCGGTGGATTGCAAAGGCTACCCTGACTGTGATCTGGAGTACACCGTGTGGGCACAGGCTGCACAGAGTCTAGATGGACCTGTTTGGGAGAACCTGTAAGGGAATCCTGGGGAGGATCAGGAAGCCCACAGGCTCCGCCACACTTGCTGGGAACATCAGAGAGTGCACTGACAGGTTCCTTTGCAGGACACTGTTCAGGTGGTTTTCCTATGCCACCACAAGTCCTACTCTGCTCCTCTTGGGCTGGAGGGTCTGGGGCCAGCGCCTCAGTCTCTTCCAGGACTTTGATCTCAGAGGTGTTGCTCTTCATCTCCCAGGGCACAGAAGTATTAAGCAATTTATAACTGAGAGAACAGCTTTTGTGACCCTTGAAAGGTTTATTGCTCAGGTAGTCTTTCTGGCTACTGGGCAGGGGAGGAGAGAGGCCCACGTCTCCCACAGTCAGCTGTGGGCCTCCTACCCCAGATTCTATGCAGACGGTCTCTGCTCCTTCAGGACTGCTGTGCCAGGGCTCCAGGCTGACTCTGACCTCCTGACAGTGGTTATTGAGGTTAGGGTCACTGGATGTACGGGTGAGGGGGCTGCTCGTGTCACAGGCAGAAAGAAGATCGTCCATGGATCTGGTTTTAGGTAACCTGGAATGACAAACATTGAACCTCCAGGTCAGGAAAAGAGAGCCACTTCCAATTAGGTCATCACAGCAGTGTCAAAATCAATGCTGACAAGACCTCTAATATTACAAATAACTGAAGTTCACTGGAAGTCATTTCTGCACACAGCATAAAACACACTCATCTTCCAGAATGCTTCTCTGTCCTCAGCTCCTGTACTAAATCCCCCAGGCCCATCTCAAACACTTTGATAGTTTCAATTACCTGCTATGCTGATGTCCCTCCCAAAATAAATCTGTGCTGGATACTGAGTTTGGGGCTTTGTATATACAAAACACACACTCTATCACTAGGCTTCATCTCCAAGGCTACTGATGATCCTAAACCCACTACTACAACCAAAACCACACCTGAACCTCAAACCAGTGTCTTCTCACTTTCTATCACAGTCAGACAAAGACTGAGTTTTTCGAACTAGAAGACGCTGGCCTTCATACTAACTACCAGAAAATGCTCCTCAGGTACCTGATTATCCCCTCTACAGGATGTTAATGTTATACTTTATAGAGATGCCAGAAGGCTTCAGAATGTAGGCAACCAACTGCAGATTTATTAGTCACAAACTTTCAAGAAGGCATGACTTCTCAACACCAGTTTTTGCAGTCACTCACTAGCAGTGAGTCCCTCCAGCTCTCAGAACCCCATGGAAATGCCTAGTAGAGCTCCCTCAAAGAGCTCAAGAAGCACCCCTATTCACCAAATGGGTGACAGGCATTTCACTATTGGTCGTCCTGATTTTTACTGCAGTACAAAACCTTTTTTTTCTTTTTTGGTTTTTCCAGGGTTTCTTTGTGTAGCCCTGGCTGTCCTGAAACTTGCTGTGTAGACCAGGCTGCCCTCCAAGCTCAGAGAAATATGCCTGCCTCTGCCTCCTGAGTGCTGGGATTAAAGATGTGTGCCGTCGCCACTACCACCCAGGTTGGAGTACAAAATCTTTAGAGCAATAAAAATCTAAGGAAATTGTCCAGGAAATAAGAGACATTTCACTGGGCTTTTCTCAGCTCTCAGAAAATCCTCCAAATGCCACATCATAATATAGCTTATTCTAAGTACTTAGCTTTGGTATTTATTATACTACATAGAATATTTTATATTTTACTTTTGTGATCAACTTGTGCATGTGTGTGTGTGTGTGTGTGTGTGTGTGTGTGTGTGTGTGTGTGCGTGCACTGGTGAGCATGTGTCGACATTGGGAATTTTCCTCAATCACTTTGCAACTTATTTTTGGGACAAGGTCTCTCACTAAACCTGAAGCTTGTCAATTTGGCTAGACTGGCCAACCAGTGAGCCTCAAGGATCTTTCTGCCTTTGCCTCTGCAGAGGCAGGATTGCAAGCACATGGTATGAATTTGGCATTTTACATGATACTAGAGATCTAAGCTCATAGCCAGCATTTAAATCTCAGCTTTGGAACTTTTCAACTTAAATTCTCTAAGCCTCACTCAGTTCCCTCATTTGTGAAAGAAAGGTTAAAGTACCTACATCTTAAAGCCATTGTGAGATCTGAACAAATAATCCATATCAAAGCATGGTGCTTTGTACTTTCTAAAGCACCTTATCTACTATTTACTTGTTCCTCTCCCTCTACCTGCCTGCAAGGAGGTCAAGCCTATGTCTCATTTGAATACTCAACTCCTAGCACAATGCCAGGCAAATGATACAAGAAACAAAGGAATAAGCTTTAAGTCCACATCAGGTTTCCACTAACAGGGTGCCAACTGAAAGGACTAGGTCAGTCAATAACTGGCTGGCATACATCAGACCTTGCTTTCAAGGTCCACCCAAAAATTACTAACTGAGAATGGCTACAAATAAGGCCTAAGCAACTCAGTGCCTCTGCCCACCTTTTTTTCTTCTTGGTAGAGCTGGGGATTGAACCAGAGCCTCATACATATGCTTTGCCACGGACCTACACCCCCTGCCCAGCTCAGCATACTATTAAAAACTTACCGCTGACTTTGTGACTCCCATGCCCCCTATGAAATTCAGATAGCGACAGTGTGCCAACCTTCATAGCTAAGTCATACGTGCACCAAAGGTTTACCCAATAATGACGGACGAGACAATGCCACAGGACTTCAGAAGGAGAAGTGGGCTAAGTCAGCCCACATGACCAGGGAAGGCTACACAGAAAGCACAGACCTTGAACCAGGTGTAAAACCATTTGCTGAACTTTAAAAGAGGTCAGGAGGGTGATACTTTTGGCCTGGGAAAAAGTATAACCAAAGGAAGTCAGGTCAGTTGTGACAGAAACATTAAAATCATCATCAATTAGTCCTCTGGAGCTACCTTTCTCCATCTTGGGCTGTCCTGTAACACACCTCCCCTCTGCTATCAAGTGATATTTCAATCCAATCCTCCCTGTATGTCTTCTCTCTCTGAAAACTGGCTTGTCTTTTCAACTTTTCCTTGGTGGTATGAACAGTCTCCTAGTTCTTAAAATTTTAAGACTTAAGAACTTGTCTTTGACTCTGAAGAGACTTTGGATCCTCTGCATTCTACACTTTTATTCTCCAACTTTCAACCAGTTCCACAGTCTACGAAAAATGTCTCTATTGTACTTCTGATTATATTCCTCTTTTCCAGGGATCTTTAAATAAATTACAGTATAGCAGAGCTGCTAGTTCCTGAGCATGTACAGAGCTCAGTGGTAAATTCTCCAGATTTCCATTGCTAATAGGTTATAATCACTACCTATGTATCTTACTACTAACAACTGAATTAAAATGTTGTTAATGTTAATTCAGAGAGATGATTCAGTGGTGAGCACCTGCTGCTCTTACAGAAGACCTGGGTTTGGTTCCCAGCACATTGATGGGACCTTACAACCTTCTGTCATTTTATTCCTAGGGATCTGATACCCTCTTCTGACCCCCTCAGGCATCTGATACCCTCTTCTGACCCCCTCAGGCACCAGACATGCACGTGGCACACAGGCATACATGTAGGTAAAACATTCATACATATAAAATAAAAATAAATAAAATCTTTTTAAAAAATTTATAAAATAAGCTCTGCACTGTAATGCCTACAGCCTGCAAAAACTTGTGTTTCTTTCTACTCCTTCTTTATGCCCTTTAACTTTAATCCTAACACTCAGAGGAGGCAGAGGCAGGCAGACCTGTGAGTTATGGGCCAGCCAGGGCTACATAGTGAGGCCCTGTTTCAAAACCACAAAAATAATGTCCTTCTTACCCTCTACAAGATCCAGAGCTGTTTTTGTTTGTTTTCTACAAAACTATCTCTTATGTATCTGTTTCTTTATTCTTTCTCCCAAAATACCTTTACTACACTCATAATTCCCTTTATCCCAAGCATTATTTATCAACTTAAAAATTTGCTCAAATGCTTACTATGGCCCAGAGTGGTAGCTCATACTTGTAATCCTGGCACTTGGGAGACTAAAGCCAAAACATCAAGAGTTCTGGGCCAGTATCAGCTACACAGGAAGACCCTGGCTCAAAATAAAACCACATCTGGGTGGGACACAGTAACAGCCATGGTTCTTGCCTGGTCCTTCATATAAATTTCCTATGTAAATCAATCCCAAATGATTCTTTAAAAAGAGTTCTTCATGTTTGAAAAAAAGGAAATTCACTGAGATCTATCCAATGGACTTGGCTCAAAAAGACCCTAAAGTCAAAAATTTAAGACTACTGAGGTCTTTGTTATATTTTATAATATTCAGTCAGTAGACTTTATTTTAACTTCAAAAAGCTTCAGCTAATAATCAAATGTCAAATTTTGTACCATATGAATTTTGGAACATGCCTGTAGTCCCAGCATTTAGAAGACTGATGGAGGAGGCTCCTGAGTTTAAGGACAGTCTACACTACACAATGACACAGTGAGACTGTCTCAAATGAAATATATGTATCCTTTGAACATAACACTTTTGTTTCTAGAAATTAAAATTTTTGGCAGATGCCAGGCGTGGTAACGCATGCCTGTAATCCCAGCACTTGGGGAGGTAGAGGCAGGCAGATCTCTGTGAGTTCGAGGCTAGTCTGGTCTACAAAGCAAGTTCAGGACAGCCAAGGCTACACAGAGAAACCCTGTCTTAAAAAAAAAAAAAAAAAAAAAGGTTCTAGCAGAAAACCAAGCACAATACAATAAACAGCACATTCTCTACAGCCCCAGTTGAATTGTGAACTTGAAATTGGCTCATATGGCAAACAGTACATATGTTTCACCGTAAGTTACACATGTTTAGATGCTCACTAAAATATTCTCTGCGATCTTGAAATGAAATGATCAAAAAGACGTGGAAAGGATACCCAAATGACTCTTAACTTTGGGCTACTCTGCAGCCACAAAAAAACAATAAAGTAGGGCTAGGGATGTAGCTAAGTGTGGAACATTTGCCTCCTATGTGCAAAGTTTGATTTCCAGCATTACAAAATATAGTATGAAGAAGAAAATAAAAACAAAGTAGCTTTCTATGTATTGTCATGGATTGACAGCCTGACACAAAATGCGAACTTGCAGAACAGTATACAAAAAGCTGGGGAGTTGTTTTTAATAACAAATGTGCTACAAAGGCAGGGTGGAAGCAGCCTGGAGAGCCTGGAGACCCTGCACCAACCGGCTAGAGGTGTGTGTGATGTTTCTAAAGAGATAAACATCTGGAAACACACCTACCAGTGTTAACAGTATACACCTGGGAGGAAAAAAACAGGAGGAAGATCTCATTTTCTTTTATAGTGTTTTGACTTTATTTAAAAAAAAAAAAAAAAAAAAAAGTAACATGAATTACTAGTGCAAGACAAGAAGTCACCAAGTCTCTTCCCCTACGTATTCAGCCAGAAGAGCATTTAACAGCCTGCTTTAGATTTGGCCCTTTACTATTAGAGGAAAGTCTGTCTCCTGCTGGAAACTGTTTCTTTCTCTGAGAGTGAAATGCTTCCAGAGGTTAATGCTGGATATAGCCAGGCTGCTGCTGGGAATGATTTCCCTATTGTGTGTATCAGTGAACAAACCAGCAGCACCCCTCAGACCAACCTTGTGAATAGCTCTTTCTCTCTAACTCTCCTCTTCCTTGCTGGGGTGTGTCACACCAGGTGATAGCAGTACCAAAAAAGAAGGTGAACAACTTAGTGAAGACCTTGAAAGCAGCGAATTCCAATCTCGCCCTTGGGCTAGCTTCTCCCTTAAGTGACTCAAGAAGTTGTTTCTAAATAGCTCACTGGAAAAGAACAAGGGCCAGTGATATGGCTCAGTGGGAAAAGGCGTTTGCCATCAAGCCAGAAGCCCCACACGGGGTGGGAAGAGAGAACCAGCTCCTGGAAGTTGTCCTTTGACCTCCACATGCACGCTGTGTTGTGTGCAGACATGCAAACACACACACACCAACAATAAATGCAAACAGACAAGTAAGAAACCTTGAGGTGAAATACAATAGGAAGCAATTCTTGCTTTCCTTGAGAAGAGAGGGGAAACCAAGGAGGATTTCTCACCTGTCCAGAGAACGGCCAGTAAATTCCTGGCTCTGAGCCACTGGGGAAAGGTAAAGATCCATATTTTCCTCTCCAAGTGTGCATGGAGATGATGCAGGGAGATAAACAGCTGTCCAGAGGTGCAGGGCCCGGACGTGACACACGGGGTGCAGGACCTAGGGAAGCAGCCGAATGTTAGTATTCAAAGAAGCCCTTGGTTCATTCTCCTTCCCTGAACACTTAGCTAGACATTCTTTTTACTGCCTCAGCCTTCTCTCCCTATAGGATTTCCAGCAGGAATAGGGCTCAGAGACCTTACCATGTCTGAACCAGGTGTATAGAGGAAGTTATGAAAGTTCTTGTTGCCAGCTCGCAGGAGTGCCCACACAGAGCATGTCCGCTTATAGATGTTTCGCTTCTCTCGCTCACAGGGGTTGTTGGCCAGGAACGTGCCGTAGAGACAGGAGTATGTGTGCTGCACCAGTTTTACCTAGGAAGCCCAGGCAGCGTGAACCTGAGGTCCTCGGGATGCCACTCTGCAACCCTGGCCACAGGCTTTAGGACTTACCAGAAATGCTTCATTGAATTCGAACAGGCAGGGGAACTGCTTAAGCAGCTGATGAACAGAATCGAGCCACTGCAGGAACACAGGACACTGTTCATTTTGGTCCTCTGCATTTTCCTGATGGCCACAGCGATCTCCAAACTTGTGCCCAAAATCCAGCCAATCAGACTCCACTAACACTTGGAAGCCCTGTAAAAAAGCCAGTCTAAACACAAGGCAACTCTGGAAGGGTTTGGGTCCAGCTTTCCAGGAGACTGTCCAAAGCTGGAAGCTGCCAGCTGCAAAGAAGTCTAACCCTGGATGAGGATTCAAATATACTCTCCTGAAACATTACCGAGACACTTCCAGAAAGCCTGACACCATCCCTCTTCCCTCATTTCCTTTGTTCTTTACCACCCAATCCCTTCTCAGTACCTCCAGGGTCCTGTAATATGGATCCAGTAATATTTTGGCCAGGGCTACAATCTGTGGTGTACGGTCCCAGCCATCAGAGCAGTGCACCAGCACAGGCCGGCCTTCCCGATCTACTGTATTAGCTACTAACACAGCCGCTTTTAGCATCACCGACAAGTGTTGCAGCCATTTGGTACTCTCCAGTGCTGACAACCAGCTGTGCAAGAACAGAAAAAAAAAAAAAAAAATGGAATCACTAAGGGTTCTGGGACCACCCTGTCTCTGCCTCCTCAGCCAGCTCCACCCGACAAAAGCCCCTGAGGACTGAAAAGAAGTCTAACTCATGACCTTTCTGCCAAGAGGTAGGTCATGCAAGGTAGGGAAATGAGACTCAGAGAGGTAAGAGCTTCTTAGAATCAAAAGAGGAACTGGGAAGCATGACATGCGTACCCAGCCGCTTAGCTTCTCCCAGTTCTCTATTTTCTTTGGTAGGACAAAGATCTAGAAAGGAAGAATCCAAAGGCCTTATGACCATGACAAAGTGTCACTCAAGGAGTGGAAGAAGTGTCATTGGAATGGTGCACTGCATCTAACCCTGCTCACACACTGAGGTCTTCAAACTTCCCAATCTCCCCCTCAAATCCCTTCCAGACATGCAGTACACTGGCTGCATGAGACTGGGAGGGATGGAGTCCCAAAGGGAACACCTACTTGCTGGGATCTGGCATCTGGCTACACACAGCCCGGAGATACTGGAAGCTATTCCGGATGGCATGGATGTTGGCCATTCCCATAAACACGACCTCACAGTTAGGGTAGTACTCTGCAGACAGGAGAGGAAAGTGGGGCACATAAGCATGTCCTGGAAACAGCCACTCAGGACAAGAGCAGTCCCAGTGGACAGAGCTTCCCTGACAGGACAGAACCAGGATGGCAACACAGAACCCAAATTGCCCTTATTCCTCTCAAGTAAATACTCAAGCGCCACCACTCAAGCAATAACTGTAATGTCCATGGTAACAGCACTGGGGATAACAATATAAAATCTCAACAAATGAAAGCTGCTCTGGCCAACAATCTAAGCGCTATTTTGACAACTTTTCAAAGTGTGAATCATCCTCATTTTACAGAGGAGCAAATAAAACTTATGCTTCATCATCATGGCTAATACATGGCAGAGCCCTGGATCCAAGCAGGGGTTTTTTTTGTTTTGTTTTGTTTTTATGCTCTTTCAAATATTCAAGTTGCCCTCTACCCCACCTGACCAAAGCCACCCCAGAGCTGAGTAACTGCAGACACTAAATAACTGAAATACCTTCACATTCACAGCCTCCACCCTTGGCCCGGTTAGCCACTGCTGCTGTGTAGGACCGTGCATCCAGGATCAGCAGCTTTTGAGGGGCTGCTGTGCTCTCCACCCCAGAGCATGCAGTCAGAGAAGAATCTAAGTACAGAGCAAGAAGAAGACAGGGTCAGCCAGACACTCAGCCGCATCCTAGCCTTGAGGCATTCCAGCTCAGAAGGAAGGAACAGTCTTTCCAGATCACAGACCTCCACCTCCCAAATGGCTGGGACCCAGGCACTCTGTTTGATCTTTTTCCCATGGTTTCACGGGGGACTTCATGGGAGCCAATGAGGCTAGCACGAGCCTAATCACTGGGGAGACCAGCACCACCCAGGCCTTACCGAAATCAGTGTCACATGCCTCAGTGGCATCAGTGGTCCCAGTGCTGAGGGAGCCCCCGCTGGCCCTTGTCCCTGGGTCTAAGGCGCAGGCTTTGGCAATGGACGTGACCAGGTATTCATCATCAGCATTGCGCCAGCCCCACCAGCTGATCTCAGGCTGGCTGCAGCGTGCAATGGCAGCCCCATTGCGTAGATGTCTGACAAAACAGAAGAAACCATAATGCTCTTGGTACTCCAAGCCTCCAGAAGCCTACCGCAGAGACCTCATGGGGGCAGACCAAGGTCTCCAGAGCCAGCAAGGGCTACCAGCATATCCAGGTCATGAAAACAGAGGCCAAATCCTTAACCATCCTTAGAGCACTTTAGAGTTTACAAAGTGCTATCACACACATTTTTGTGAAATGGCTCCTGTATTCCTGTTGTGACCTTGACTCATCAAGGCTGCATAGCACCTGTTCCAAAGGGCTGGGATTAAAAGTGTAGGTCTCCATACTTGGCTTATTTACTAACATTCTTACATAGGAATTGGCCAACTTTCCACTAAAAAACTAACCAAAATTTCTGGCTTTATAACTCACAACCAATCTCTATGCTGTATTAATAAATAACCCTGACAGGATATGCTGACACATGCCTGTAACTCCAGCACTCTGGAGAGAGGCAAGAGAATAGCTGGTAGAAAGGCCTAATGAGGCCTGATTTGGTCTTCAGGCCAGTTTGCCAACCTCTCAGTAAACATAGTATTTTACATACATACATACACACACACACACACACACACACACACACCCCAAAACCAACAAGAACCAGTTTCCCTAAAGCTACTTATCTTTGGGGGGGAAATCTGAGGTTGTGCCTAAGGGTTCTTTTGTTTGTGTTGTTTGAACTTCATTTGTATCAGTGTTCTGCAGGACCATATGTACTATGTACTACTTTTGGCACTTGTGGAGGCCAAAAGCGGCCGATAGATCCCCTGGAGTTACAGATGGTTGCGACCTGCTGTAGGTGCTGGGAACTGAACTCAGATCCTCAACGAACCCTCTCTGGCCCTGAAGGTTCTTTTTCTGTTTTGGTTTGGTTCTTGGTTTTTCAAGACAGGGTTCCTCTGTATAGCCTTGGCTATCCTGGACTTGCTTTGTAGACACAGGCTGGCCTTGAACTCACAGAGATCTGCGTGCCTCTGTCTCTCTGAGTGCTGGGATTACAGGCCCCCAGCTCTGAAGGTTCTCATTTTAAAATATTTCCATCATTTCCCTACAAGGTGCCAAATCTCCACTGACTGCTCCAAAGCTCAGGATTTGATTCCTAGCTGCATGAAAAGTGGCCTCCTACTCCCCACTCCATCCTGCCTCACCTGTACACCACGACAGGGATGCGTTTCCAGGAGCGGAAAGAAGCCACGTTCTCCAGCTCTTTATCTGTGATCCACACAGGAACCAGCAGCTTCTGGGGGTAACTAGGGCATAGCCTGAGAAAAGATGGGGGAGGGTGTCCTGATCTAAATATGGGATGACAATCCCAGGGGGTGGCTTTGAGACAACAGGGACAATCTGAGCCCTCCTCCCTCATGGACCCGGAAGCTAGAGCCACTACATTTCACTCAAACACAGAGAAAGTCAGGGTATGGACTGCACCCTCACTTGTAATTGCTGTTGATATCCGAGACCCTCCAGACGTTCTGCAGATCAAAACCCATCCTCATGAGCTCTGCCTCCTGTCGGCATCGGATGTGCTCTCCTGCAACACAGTCCCCAGCCTGTTAGTGTCCCAGAACACCAGCATCAGGGGGAAGGAGGATGAGAACCGTGGGCTAAGAAGCAGATTCCCCGGGAAAACAGCCTGGCCTCACCTGGCTGACACAGGTGGGTATGCTGATCCTCCTCGGTCAGCCCCAGGCACCAGGCATGGTAGGCAAAGGCAAAGAGATCCTCGGGCTTGGCAGGTCTTGCTGTGGCCCGGCTTAGCCTTGAGAGCCACTCTTGGCACTGCTTGAAAGTGGAGAAGTGGCACCTGCCAGGTAAGAAGCCACAGGCTTGGATGAGGCAAGGGGTAGATAGGCCACAGAGGCCCAGAGTCAAAAACATGGCCACAAAAAGGATGTGAAGGAAAGGAAGCTGCAAAGCAGGAGGCAAGTGACCCTGGAGGGACGAGAGGAACACTGGCCAGTACCTAAGAGAAGTTGTTTCTTGTGACAATTCTTATGTCCACCCTATAAGCCAATGCTACCTCCCTGTGAGGCACAAGTCCTGCTCCCAGCATTCTTATCTCCTCGTTCTTTTACCTTTGCTTGATGATGTCTCTTCTGCCTAGTCACACCCTACTGACTTCTTAAAGACAGTTTTAGTCCCGCCTCTTCCTTGAAGCCTCCCCAGCCCACTCCATTCCATAGTCTTTCCTATCTTGACTCCTAATGTGCTTGGAGTGTGGAGGAGGTTTTGAACAGCACACCTTCACATCAACTTTGCCTTAAACAACTTGACTTTGGTTTTCGTAAAGGAAAAGAGCAGCAGGAGTCTCATGAGTCTGAGACCTCGGCATACAGCGGGCCCTCACCTGGGCTTCCTCCCAAGCACTCAGGGATCATCCCAGTCCCCTTTTCTCTTGGCCAGTTCATAACAAGTCCCATCTACACCTGGAGTCTGGTCACTTCTCATTTTGGCGGAAATGACCCTAGTCAGGGTGTCATGGCCTCTCACCTGAGTTAACTATACCTGTTTCCTAAACTAGTAGCTCAGCCTCGGCCTTGACTTTGGTCCCATGTTCTTCTACTTGGTTTCAATGTAACAGCCAGAGTGAGCCCAAAAAGCATTAATCCCATCACATCACTCCTTTGCTCAAAACCCTCCAAGGATTCCTCAGTTCTCTCAAAGTCAAAACCAACGCCAGTAACTGTGACCTTTGGCCCCTTTCTCTCTAGCTCTCCTGCCTTATATCCCACTACCCTCACTCATATGTATGCCTTTCCAGCCACACTAGCACCCTGGCATTCTTCTGCTATGCACGCACAGGTACACACCCACTTCAGAACCTTTGTACTCAACTTGTCCTTTGGCATACCTTTCCCTCAAATACCGGCTCAGTCACTTTCCTAAGTCCTGACTCCAAGCACCCCTTATCTACTCGGCTTTCTCCAGTCACCTGTTTAAAGCTATAGTCTGCTAAAACCTTTCTTGATTTTATTTTTACTTTTACCTTTATCATCATCTAAAGTATTTCACTTACTTAGTGCCTCCTGACTGGAATGTAAATTCCCTTAAGGCAGGAATTTTTGTCTGTGAGCTCTTTGAAGTACCTCCATCACCCAAACCATGCGGTACAGACTACTCAATAAACTTCTGTTCCTTGCGTGAGAGCTCTGTGCCAGACACTGACCCAGGTGCTCGCGCAAATAATCACCACAAGTAATCCTCATGATGGCTCCGTCAAGGCCCACTTTATTTCAGGTCAAGCCAGAACGGGTTAGTTAGCAGGCTGACCTTCTAAGAACAGGAAAGTGAGTTGTCACCTTTTCCTCCTAAGGGGAAAATAAAGTGCTCTTTCCTCTCTTGCTCAAAAGGTACCCTGCAACAGAGAGGTCTGAACACAACTAGGGTCAGAGAACATGAATGAGGCCCTGCTGTGCTCACCTCACCACTTTGGAGTCCTTGCAGGCAATGTGCAACTGGAACATATCACGACTTTCCACACTGTCAATCATCCGGAGGGGTACCTGCAGGGGAAGGGCAAACAGATGCTCAGGTGCACCCCAGCCTGGAAGAAAAGCGCCAAGAGATAAAAAGAAGCCAGCATCTACTGAGAGTCTGCTGAGGGCCTGATGGGCACGCCAGGGACCTCACTCATGTAACCAGTTAATAATACCATAATGATCCTGAAGGCAACTGGTTTTATTCCTTAAGGAGGACATCATCAATTGTCCAAGGAGACATAGAAGTGGCAGTGCAAGAAAAAGGGCCATATTTGCCTGGCTCCAAAGTCTATGCTCTTCTAATAAATAATGCCACTGTTACTATATTCCTTTAAACAAGGGGTGGAGTTAGCTCAATGGTTAAAAGCACTTGCTGCTCTTGCAGAGGATCTGGGTTTAGTTCCCAGCTCCCACACAGTTGCTCACAACCTCTTGTAAATCCAGTTTGGTCATCTGCTCTCCTCAGGAAGTAGGGACCAACATGGTGAATACACATACATACATACAAGCACTCACAAATTAATAATAAACAAGCCAGGCAGTGGTGCCGCACACCTTTCATCCGGATGCTCAGGAGGAAGAGGCCTCTGTTTGAGGCTAGCCTGGTCTACAGAGTGAGCTCTAGGACGACCAGGGCTATACAACAAAACCCTAAAAAGAGGAGGGTAGCCCAAACAAGATAAAAGATACAAAGGGGAGGAAGAGAGACAGACAAACCTGTACACAGAGGAATAAGGCAAGAAAAACCAAGGCCAATGGGAAGGGAATCCCAACTACTTTTAGAGACATAATCAGGTGGAGCGCTGGAACAATACCGCTTTGAAGCACGTGGGATTCTGACTATCGTGTGAGGAAAACAAGATGAGGACTCACGTTGATGACAGAGTCTTTGAACTTGATATGCAGCCGGTAGTTGGAGATGGCAATGAGGGCATCAGCTGCCCGGCCCAGGAATTCCACTCCCTCACCCTGTAGCACTGTGAAGGGTACCTGTCAAAGGTCAGAGAAACCCTCAGCCCAGAATCGAGTCTCTCCCTTGTTTTTCTCTGTAGCCCTGCTCTATAGGAGACCCTCAGAAAAACATGGATGAGGCAGCAGTCAAAAGTCAGGACGCTGGGTCACCTGCTGTTCAGGAAAACTGTCTCTACTTACGTAAAGCCAAAAGGCTCCAATAATGCACAGACTGACAGATACCACCACCACCACCACCAATCCCCAGAGGCCCAGGAGGAGGAAGCCATGGCTCTGGCAAATCCTCTAAAGATTTGAGAGTCTGGAACCCTAGCTGGGCAAGAAGCCCCCCCCCCCCCCACGCCATGAGCCTCCTGTTCCTCCTTACCTGAAGATTCTCCTCCTCCTTCACAAGTTCCTTGGGGGGGAACAGATCCTTGGCTTGGATGTACTCCAGGCTGGGGGGGCCCTCCTCACCCTGCAGGGAGGCCATAACCTTGAGCTGCCAGATCCTACCTGGCTCCTGAGGCTCATTCACTCTCCTCCTCTACCAACAAAACTGTGAGGAAGGGAGGGAACTAAGGAAGACTCATGTCAGAATAAGACAAGAGCAGGACTGGGAAAGAGACACCTGAGGAACAGGAGGCAGGTGTGGTAGCTGGCTGGAGAAAGGAAATCAGGGCCCTACCGCCACTCAAGCATCAACCTGGTGGGTGGAGACAAAGAGGAGGAGGTTGGGGGGATTCAGTCCCATGCCTCTAGAGGGCCTTTGTGAATGCCTTCAAAAAGGAAGACGTGTTTTGGAGCTGAGCTTATCTTCCCATTGGGCTCTCGCTGCTGACAGGACCCCCACTACCTGCCAAGCAACCCGCCACGTCTGCTGATCTGAGGGGAATTCCTTAGGAATACCCATAGCAAGCAGAAGTCACTCTGCTCCCAACCACCAAGGGAGATAAAAAGAGGGAATCCACCCTCAGGGAGGAAGCAAGAGACCCAAGGACAGCCAGGGGAGAGAGGAGGCCTGGCAGACACCTACGGGGGGGGGGGGGGGGGGGCCCCCGAGCGGGGGGGACGGGGGGGGGGGGGGGGGGGGGGCATGAACCGGGGGGGGGGGGGGAGGGGCGGGGGGAGAGTAAGAGAA